ATAGGTCAGCACCTATCATGTTTTTGGATGACACGTAAGACAATGTGGATGCGTGCGTTTTACGGTCATGTTTTAACATTGGGTAACAGCACCAATAATCGTGTTGAATCGCTAAATAGGCTAGTAAAACGATATGTACGAAAAAGTGATAGTCCGTACAAATGAATGTACAAGGCTTTAAAATGGAGTGAATTGACGTCAACTAGAAGAAGTATCAAAGATCAAGTAATAGTCGGAAGATCTTATAAATATAATGCTCTACAGCGTCTTATACCCTTTCTAAACATTTTGACCCCATTCGTAAGATATAAAGTGTTATACGAACTTAAAAAATGCGTTTCGTTTATGTGAAATTCGAAAGCGGCGACTGGTTGTTTATGGTTGACCGCGGACAACATTATGAAGTGGATGTAAGCATTTGTTAATGCAATTGTAGCACGTTTAATATGTGTCGATATTCTTGCCGTCACATGCTACCTGCCTACGTTAAAAGACAAAGTCTTAAAGGTAAGCTATATCAAATATGAAATACCAACTGCATAGCTCATCAACTTCTTAGGTATTGTAGCAGATGGAAGTTACATAATACGCAGAACTTCCAAATTAATACATTAACTGCATTATCACGACGGAGTGAAGTGCATATAAGTATTTAACGAAGCCAAAGAATCCATAAGCATCGCATCATTGAGAAGTATGGTGAACATTTCGCAACGGAAGTTGAGAAGAAAGTGGACAATTATCACTTGAGAATTCTTAATACCAACTTGTAAACTTTATTTTCTACTTAAGCAGCAATGATTATTCAATGAAGTTTTTCATAATTTTAATTTTCATCTTATTCCTACTTTCACGGGAATGAATAGCAATGATGTGTAACTATCTGTAATAATTAAGAATGATTAAGAAACCCTACATCCACGTAAAGTCTTACAGATTAGGCACCCACATATCATATTCACCTTCGTCGGATTACGTTTATCATCAAAATAGTACCAGTAGCTAAGTAGATTTTAATTTCATGTGATTAGTTTCGCTTATGAATTAAAATGAAACCAGGAGAAATGTTGATTAACAGTGGTATGCATTCATTATAACTAAATATGCATTAGGATTTAACAGTGATGCGGGAAACAGTTGACATACCTGAATATGAATAATTGAAATGACGTAGATTATCAACAATGACTATATACATAAGTATATATATATATATATATATATATATATATATATATATATATATATATATATATATATATATATAAGGTCAAAGGTTACTTGTTTTTACAGTCAATAAAACATTAAGGATGGGTGGTGTAATAGTGGACTGGAGTTCACAGATAGATAAGTGATGTGAAAATCTTATAGGTTATGAATGATCTGTAGATTTAAGAACTGAAAACTTGGGTTACGTAATAATTGATTACAATTTGAAGAGGTCACATAATTACAGAGGATTAAGTGAGTAGATGTAAGTGACAGGGTGTTGGAATTAATCGGTAACTAAATTTTAAAAGTGAAATGAATTATTACATAATACATCATATTACTTGTTCATTCCATGGATTATAAGGAATTCATATTATTCTTTATCTATATTTGTTCTAACTTCATATCAACTATTAATAAATACGGACACGGTTTATAAATTAAGACACTGGGTGTAGTCGCTATATTTATTTTTCAATAATTCATTAGTTGAATAAAAATCTCACTAGGCAATACAGAACACAGTTAACGTGAACTTGTAAACCGGTTTTTAACATGATCTTCCATAATCACAAATTTCATAAGTTGTAGACCGGCGTAAACATCATCACAAAGCTTTGAGGACTTTAATGGATTCATACAATTCTGAAAAACAACAAATTAGTCGTGAAATAAAGAATTAGACTTAGTTATCAGTATCACATTCAATAAGTCAATCAAATAGCAGGTTACAGAACGTACCTATAAGTCTCTTATTTGCAGACAGCGCTAATCATTAGAGATTTCTATTTCCTTTAATAAAAATTAATAGGTAATCTTTGCAACACACAAATCAGTGTTATTTACAAATTGCTGAAGTTAGTATCGTCACAACATACAAGCGTAATCTGACTTATGAAGAAAATGTAATTAATTAAAGTGGCATAAAGGAGATATGAATACAAGAAACTTGTGATTCTGCTTCCATTGCTCATTCAATTTTCGTCACGTTGTCTGCATGAATTACTTCGGACGAGTCAGTCTGTAATGCAGTAGGAATTCATGAATTAACTCATTAATAGTTGTTTTTTGATTCAAGTCTGTGTCGTAACAAGCACTGGGAATTTCTTCAGTGTCTAACCCTTGTAGTATTTCCTTTAGACATCTGGTATTAGCAAGAGAAATTGGTAAGCACCATTTAGATATTACTCAACAATATGCATTATAACTTTTTTCACATTTTTGTCTGCGATTGTGCATTTCGTTTACTGAAAATTATTCGTCAACCCTATAACAAACACATCATAAATCAGTATAAGTACGAAATCGTTTTGTCAACATGCTCAGAAGAGACTCCCATCGTTTTACTTATGAAGATTTCATACTTATTTAATGTGGTGTTATACACTGTTCCTGTACACGTTCAGAAAGCCGGTAAAAATACTATCAACGTCAATTTTTCCTCACATAATTTTTCTCTGATACGTTACACAATAATATGTCACTTCAGTACAAAACAATGCTACCTATAGTGCATATAACCTTTTATGGCTAAATACAAAGAAGTTATATAATATTCATAGTTAGTTTGACGCTTACTTCTTTCTAGTTACATTTTATAAACGATTACGGACATCTATATTTGCCGTCACCATAATCAAGGAGGTGAACCATATATAATGGTTTTTACGGCTTATTTTCATGAAAACTCAATCTGTAATCTATTTTTGACTAGAAAAATGGTGATTTGATTTGTTTGACTTTGTATTGTTAAAAATAGCCATATTACACTAACTACAGATTTACTTAGGTGGTTAGCACGAAATACGTGAAACTGCTTATAAATTGCAACAAAAACTATCTTCCAATCACAAAGATTACGAAAAGTCACGTATGATGGAAAAAAGGCATTTAATAGCTGATAAATAACGACACATTATATCCACGACAATATGTCACATGTGCGCGAAAACTCGTGGCCTAAAACGCATTCATTCCGATGGAATGAATTCGATCCATTCTTCCAGCCGTTTCCATCGATGGGTTTTTTCCTTGTTAAATGTTTAATATTTATTTTCCCAGTTGTCTCGTGTTTAGCTTTTAGGATTGTGTAGTTATGACCCAGTGGCATTGCAAAGGTATTAGAAAGGTTTTTTATATTTCCTGCTCGTATAAACGTTCTAAGTACTGCTTCCGCGTCATTTTCCAGCCTATCCCACATTATGTCAAAATTGTTGATAGTTATCATGTATTGGTACGCTTGAATTTATAGGTGCGTCAATGTGGAATCTGACGGTACAAAACTACCGGAATTCCAAGTATTATTGGATTTGTAACTTTGTCTCTGCACTTGATTGAAACTCTCACCTAATTGCTTTCACTACTTCTGGCTGAATTTCCATTATTCTACTAAATCTTACTTCAGCTTTTATTAGGCGAACATTTATTTTTTCCTAAACACACTTAAACTCAGTGAATCATTTAGTTAAGCGTCATACCTACAGGGTTATTGATTAGCTTTTGCTCTATTTTTGATCATTTTTTCATTCTTTTCCACTAGGTGATCATCAATTCATCCGTTTCCTTACCACGATTATCATTAGTATGATAACTTGTAGTAATAATTAATTTTGAACTCTGAATGCTTTATTTTTATTCCGTTTCTGGGTCACAGTTGCAAAGCATTTATGTTTGCCCTTTGGTGTTGATAGTCGTAGGACTACCTTACTTTAATCGATGCTTATATTAGAAGCTACATCGACTTCAGGAAAAAGATGGAGAATAGACATCATTTGCATCTAGAAAGCTCGATAATTTTCTGATTCTTGTCTAGAAGACAGAAAACGTTTTGGTTGATTGCTCATGAAAAGTACAACTCAGTTACGATGTCTCCTTCTTGAAGTTAATGCTTCACGGGTTATTTACTTAGACAGCATTAGGCTCCCTATCGCCCATTATGTAGGTCAACCTACTTCTCCAATTCTTATTTTGATCTGTTCAGTGACTAAGTGTATGTGTCTTAAATGTGGGTACAGAGCTCTTAATTTTCTAATAGTATGGTTTATTGTATAATAAAGATCTTAAAAATCGCGAGTCATAACATAGTGAGGTGTGTATATACGTCTCATACGTCTACATTCATTGTCGGACGCATGTGCATTTAATCGTAACTGACTATGAGTCAAAAGCCTTTGTATGCCATGATCTTAACGTCTCTCCTCACTAGCTTCTGTTTATCTATAAGTTCAATATATGTATGGACATTAAGACCAACAGAAATAGATAAGAATATGTATATATATGGTGGCGAGAATATAATATACTGGTGAAACAATCAGATCTAAGATTGTGAGTCCTGGAATTTGGCCAGGAGTTCATTCATCTGTATCACAAATCTATATATTATGATTATAGATTATGTCGGTTAGTGATAAAAACACTGATTCTTAAGCTATAAATCTAACTACTGTTCACTGTCCCTCAAACTACTTGACAAAATTATTTGGACCGCAGTAAGTTGTTACAGTTTTCTAGGAACATTTTAGTGTCACTTAAAGGTCCATAATCTATAGCATCTCTAGAGTCTAGGCACTTGTTAAAAAGAATTAACATAACCCCTCTTGCTGCTATTCTCAAGGCACAGATCTGAATAACATGTGTTCAGTAGTCCACGGAAAATTGTATTCCACATAAATCCTGATTAAACACTATCAAAAACTTGGAACTTAATCTAAACAACGAAGAAAAAGAGCAAGTTGATCAGTCGTTTTACACAAGTTTATCACAAAGGTATTGTTTATTGGATTACAAGTGTAGTGACAAATCTATGAATCATTTGGCAACGTGACCTTGGGTACACGTATGTTTGTATTTTTGCACATATATTTCCATTTTGTTAGTTTCTAAAATTATATACCTTATACGTAGTCTACTCAGCATAAGTAAAAAACAGCGGAAAGTTGTTGTTCACTGTAAGAATAGCATGTTGTGAAAAACACGGTCAGATGAAATGAAAGTCATGAATTCTAAATGTTGATCAGCAGCTTGAACACGTCCTGCAAATCAAGCTCTGTTTATTTGTTTTAGGGAGGCGGTCAGCTGCTTAGAAAGGGTTAGCATTTCTGTAGTTGTTTATTCATCAAACCACAAAGTAACCAGATCTCCCAACTTTAAATTTGGGAGATTAAGTACAATTTCACCGATTCTGGGGAGCTCCCATTAGAAACTTCACCTTTTGGAACAAAACCCTGGACTGGTGCAGAGTTTAGTGTTTTCCCTCAATCCGCAAAGACTCCGCGAATTTAAGAGGTTGGGAACATTATTAATATAAACCTTGTTCACATTCGTTCGTTTATTTTCATATTAGTAGTCATAGAAATTTTCTACAATCATCAGTAAAACTACTTTGATTGTTTCTGGTAATCTCGTTAGTGTTATGTGACATGGTATTAGGACTTCAGCAGTTGTATATGTGTCAGGCCCCACATAGACTTGGTTACGTGCATCGTGTCGTTATCTACAGGCATTTTCTGCATCCAACAACCAGAGTGCACACAAACAATATTGAGCTATGTGATCGAGACTGAAAGAGTTTTTGCGACCTTATCATGGATCCAGAGGCCGACTATTATGGAGCAATAAGGAGGATTTCCTCTACCGTATGCACTACGATTTTAGAACCTCTGAACCTCTTTCTAACCTTGACATGCTTTCGAACTATGTAGAAAAAATGTATCCACTTTAATTTTTTGGTTTTGTACAATATACTTTTACTCTATACTAACTGTCTTGACTGGCTAGCGTTTCTCAGTCACTTGCGATTCGTTCAAAGGTCGTCCATAAATCATAGTCTCGACGTATTCCAGATGCAAATTTATTATTAAGTAGTTGAAAAGTTAATCTAATCGCCTCTTGTCCTCTCTTACGACAACGGAAGTAGGCTTAGGTTAGCAACTCTCGTTAAACAGAAACTTTGTGATTCTGAGGATCACCTTAGTTACTGTTCTTTAAACCTTGTTCAACAGCTTATCATCATTTCTCTAAGCAGGGACTAGCTGATCGTATGGAATAATTAAGTTCAGACCAAATGAAATGTGAATAAAGGCGGGATCTATTGATTAGAGAGTTCTAAAACTTCTAAAGGCTATTGCACATCAGTGTACAGTAATTTTCAAGTTTCGACGAACGACTTCTAAATTGGTGTGTTGTTGGGCAATGGAGCAATGTTATAATTTATCAACGAAGCAGTGATATTAAGGATAACAATCCTTGAATTTTGGTGTGATGTTCATTTACCTATATGGTTAAATGGCATTCTGATGTTATAACTGATGTCATTTTGTAATGACATCTCAACCCTAACTTCTGGTTTTCAGTCGCATTCCTAATTCTTCACACTAATCTATAACCGTCTTTTGACCCTAGAAAGTGATAGAAGGGTCAGGTCATCTGAGCAGTCCAATTCATCTACTTTCATTCACTCTGCCTATTGTATTCCGTGCTTCCTCCGAGATTTTATGGTTTTCATAATCCAGTCAACCACCAGAAGAAAGGAAAAACGGAAGAGTAAGCAGCCTTGTCTGACACCGGTCTTCACTTGGAATGCAGCCGTCCTCCATACACGACTTTTCAGTGTAGTCGACTGTATGAATTCCGTATGGTGTTGACAATCTTTTCAGCTACTTACTACATTGTGTCGAAGAACGTTCCATTAGACCATCCCATACACACTGTCAAACACTCCCATAATCAAGGAAGATGATGTATAGTGACGAACATTTTAGAGAACAGTTCAACTGGCCTCCAGCTACTCTACAACTACCCTCCATTCTCAGACAGTGTGAATGGAACATTGAAGTAGGTCCCCCAACTCTTGCTGAAGTTGAGAAGGCTATAGTTAATCTGAAACGAGGAAGAGCAGCTGGTCCAGATGGATTGACTCCAGAGGTCTTTAAGGATGATGGTCCAATTTTAGCGATTAGGTTGACTAATATTTTAGCTAAGATCTGGGAATTAGACGTTAGTCCATCTGACTGGTCGCAATCACTTATCGTCCCAATATATAAGAAAGGGTCAAAATCATCCTGTGACAACCACAGAGGGATTAGTTTGACTAATATAGTATCTAAAATACTAGCCTCGATAATTATCAGACGCCTAACTAAGACTCGTGAACTGCAAACATGACAGAATCAAGCTAGCTTCAGACCTGGTCGTGGCTGCATCGACCACATATTCACCATTCGTCAGGTTCTAGAACACAGGCATACTTATCGACGTTCAACAATGGTGGTCTTTCTTGACTTAAAAGCAGCATTTGACTCCGTAGACCGTGAGATTCTGTGGCAGTGTCTGTCATTGAAAGGCGTACCTCAGAAGTACATAAACCTTGTGAAGGCTCTTTACTCAAACACTACCAGTCAATTCAGAGCTTGTGGTAAACTGTCATCTACTTTTGCAACCTCAAGTGGTGTCCGTCAAGGCTGTCCACTTTCTCCATTTTTGTTTAACTTCATCATTAACCTACTGATTGAAATAACGCTCTCACCAACTGAATTTTCGGGCATTGATCTCCTACCAGGAGGTCCACTTACCGACTTAGAATACGCTGATGACATAGTCTTGTTTGGTGAAGACACTGATAAGATGCAGAGTGTTTTGGTAGCACTAAACAACAATGCCAGAATGTTTGGAATGCGCTTCTCTCCCTCTAAATGCAAGTTGTTGCTTCAGAACTGGCCTGCGTCAATACCTGAAGTAAGGATAGGGAGTGAAGTAGTCGAACGCGTTGACAACTTCACTTATCTTGGAAGTCTGATCAGCCCTAATGGGTTGGTATCGGACGAAATCTCAGCACGGATTCGAAAAGCTCGTTTGGCTTTTGCCAACTTACGTCACCTTTGGCGAAGGCGAGATATCCGTCTATCAATAAAAGGACGAGTATAATGCGCCGCAGTCCGTTCTGTTCTACTTTACGGCAGCGAAACATGGCCTTTAAGAGTAGAAGACACCCGTAAGCTACTAGTATTTGACCACAAATGCCTTAGAAATATTGCTGGCGTCTGCTGGGATCACCGGGTAAGTAATAGTGAGGTTAGACGCAGGGTATTAGGGAATGATGGCAAATCAGTTGATGAGGTTGTGAATCTTCATCGACTGAGATGGTTGGGCCACGTGTTAGTTATGCCTGAACACCGATTACCACGACGTTCAATGCTAACGAGTGTTGGAGATGGTTGGAAGAAAGTTAGGTGCGGCCAAACCAAAACGTGGCATCAGTGCTTGAAGTCACTGACTGCTAGTCTGAGCCATGTTGGTAGATGCAGACTACTTGGTTGGGGTCCGCGTGACTTTCGGAACCAATGGCTTGAGACTTGGTGACATGGCTCAGAATCGATCACAATGGCGTCGGTGTATACACTCTCTGTCTTCCCTTAAACTAAGAGATTAAAATCACCATATCTTTCTTTCTACTAACTAATTCTTTCTTCCTATACTATATCCTTATTACAATCTTTCTTCTATATATTACCACCTCTGAATTAACTACTTTTATGAATGCGGTGTCCATCTTGTTGTGTTAATGATGTATGGCAACTTGGACCGATACATGTATGTGCCTGGTCCTACGTTGTAGCTGATTGACTGACTGATAGTGACGCGTTCCATTCACTTGATTGTTTAATAATGATCTTTAGTGTCGCGTTTTGGTTTGTATGCATCCGATCCTTACGGAATCCGATCTGTTGATCTCGAAGTTGGGACTCTATTGAATTTTTCGTTCGGTTCAACAACACTATTGAAAAAGTTTTCTGGTATTGATAGTAGTGTGTTGCTTCATTAGTTCTCACACTCATTGAGATCTTTGATATATTGATGAGGTGTCCTTCTTTCCAGCCTGTTGACACTTGTTCTTCCTCTCAAATCTTTCTGACTAGTATTTCGAGCATCTTTGCAGTTACTCCTATGTCGGATCCTGCTGCTTTCCCACTCTTAATTTGTCTGATATGCCGATTTTTCATATCTTTGTTGGGGTGACAGCTATAAGAAGGTCTGTGTGTATTGCTTCGATGTTGGGTGCATTCAGTGGGGTTGGTTTATTCAAGAGTTTTTCAAAGTGCTCTACCCACCTGTTCTTCTGTTCGTGAATCTTAGTGACTGACTTGCCTTCTTTGTCCTTGACTGGTCGTTCTGGTTTACAATATTTCCCTGCTAGTTTCTCCGTTGTGTCGTATAGTTGTCTTATATTTCCTTCTGTTGCGGCTTTTTTACTATGTCGTTGCTAGGTGTTTCACATATTTCTACGTGTCAGCTCTAATGCTACTGTCCACTAGCTTGTTTGCTTCAGTGTATTCCAGTTGTCCTCCATAATAGTTTCTTCTTCTTTGAGTGGATCTCGTAATGATTGGAACCGATTGTTGAGAGCTGTCTTGAATTCGTTGACTTTGTCAGTAAGTCGAAGGAAGGCTGTATTTAACCTTTGTATAGCTGTTTCCCCAGTTTTCCAGTGCGTTTTAACTTTAGTTTGATCTTGGTCAATACCAGGTGGTGGTCTGAATCCATATCAGCTTCTTTCCTGGTTCTCATATCTTCCATTGTCCTTCTGCAATTCTTAGTGATACAATTATGATCTATATGCCAATCACTAACATCCATCGACGTCTTGGACGATGGGCAGAATTTTTCGAAGGGCAGTTCAACTGGCCTGCTGCTCCGGCAACATCGGTCAGACTGTCCTGCCCTCCATGGCCGGTGACGACTGATCCACCAAACGAGAAGGAAGTCCGCAAGGAACTCCAACTCTTGAAGAGTTACAAATCACCTGGCCCAGATGACTTACCTCCGGCTCTTTTTAAAGATAGTGGTGACTTTTTGACTAAGGAATTGACGACGTTGTTTACAAAGGTTTGAGAACTAGAGAGTGTACCAACGTCATGGAATGATTCGATAGTTGTCCCTATCTTTAAAAAGGGTTCACGTCGTTCCTGCAACAACTATCGGGAAATAAGTCTACTTCCGATTGCGTCCAAGCTATTGGCTTCCGTCATACTTCGTAGGTTGTTCAAAACCCGAGAAAGATTGACTCGCGAGGAGCAGGGTGGGTTTCGTTCTGATCGAGGATGTATTAATCATATCTTCACCCTCCGCCAAATGTTAGAACATCGCCATACTTATCAAAGGCATGTATTTGATTAGTGCAGACTTCATGGTACGTTTACTACACTGCATCTCACTATCCACCGGGTATCAACAACCTGGGCGTTAACAATTACTTTCTTTACTCTATCTAGTCATCTCTCGAAGATTTTCAAATAGATTGAAAGAGAAAATGTTATATAGGCAAAAGCCGATAACCAGAAAAAGATGGGTTAAAATAAAAACATACTATGAACAGTCAAATCCAAATGTGCAATAACCGAAAATGCTGCTGGATTTAAAAAGAATACAGGTTATAAACCCTTTGTAAGAACGATATTTTTCAAATACTTTAATTGATAGCAATTCAATTAAACTGAAAAGTCTTTATGATTTATAAACGATCGGGATTACAAAAGTCTTTTCAGCAAGGAAAAGTACCACTATCCTGTATATCTATCAACTCTAAAATTATCCGACTTAGTTCATCGGTCATGCACAAGCTCGTTTCTTTTGCTTATTGATCGATGTTGTCTTATACTGAAATAGCACAGAAATCTACAATCTGTAAGAGGATTAAGAAAGAGCTCTGAAGACAGGATGTTAGTAGGTTTAATCCGGTTGGTTGTTGAAGATTGTGAACCATCATTTAGTTCCTAGTTCTGGCACATTGAAGTATCGACCCGAGACCGAATGGTTGTATCTATACACCTCCTTCACCTTCAGTATTGCAGTCTTATACTGTGGTATTGTGTAGAGAGCAATGTTACATAGCTTATTTACTTACCATTTAATTAGCAGTTGAATATCTCATTAGGTACGTAACTTACATATGTCTATAAATAGCAGACAAACCATCTGTATTTCTACTGAGGCTAGGTTGCCATCCTGTTGGATGCTATATAGCTCGCAAGTTATAGTGGTATTCATGAATATAAAAATTTGTGCAACGTCTTGCTCAGTCCTACCCGTTAGTTTTTGTACCAGTTCGTGATATAAAAGTTATACATCACTGGTTGCATGTTGAATTTAAACCTTATTCTATCAATTGATTTTATGCAGTTTATCTATTTTCTCTTTATAGACATTCCAGAAATACTACGTAACTTTCAGTTTTTAATACAGTATGGCAACTTGGGATGAGGTGCGAGAACTGGCTAACAAACTCAAAGAAACACAAAATCAACCTAATATTTGTAAACTATCTGATAGAACATGGGTCGATATTATACAACATTTAATGTCTGTGAATAGACTAAAACTGGTTTTCTCAACTGATGGGCGATCATATTTAACTCGGAACGAGCTCGATAAGGAAATCCGAGATGAAGTTGAAGCACATTCTGGTAGAATTACACTTACAGAACTAGCATCAAATCTTGATGTGGATTTCGATATCATTGAATCAAGAGTCACTGAATTGATAACCTTAGATGCACAAAACAAGTCGCCTTGTCGTTTGATCAGTATACCTAGTGAAGTTGTCAACAGTTCATATGTTCGACGCGTAGCTCATGAAATACTTGATCGACTAGAAGAGCATGGCCAGACTAGTATTGGTGAACTAACTGTCATTTTTAATCTCCCTACAACATTCTTATCGAGTATTATGCAAGAGTATCAAAGTACTTTATTTCATGTACATAAATATGGTGAGAAGTACTTTACAGATACTTTCCTTAATGCTACTAAGGCGAAAATTCGAGGTTATTTTACAGGTGTTATCCGTCCTGTTACTTTGAGTTCAGTTGCTTCAAAGCTTCAAATTCCTGAAAATTTAATTAATAGTATTGTCTCTAGTCTTATCAGTACTGGTCGATTGTATGGTAATCTGATTGCCGGTCGTAGTGGCTTCGTTCCAAAATGTTATACTTATGCTGAGGATAAATACATCAACTCATTTTACTCTCAGAATGGATATATTGAATGGAATTATTTAAAGCGATTGAATATTCCTGATCCAGGTTCATATTTAAAAACTAAACTTCCGAATGCTATGCATCTACCAGGTCTTACGGTTAATACATTAATAGTTGATCAGTTAAAATCCCTCATTTCAGGGGTAATCCGCGACGTATCTTGGATAGACCTATCCCATTATATTCCAAATGGATTAGATTCAAATGAAAGATCGGCACTAGTTAACCCTCTGTTAAAAGATGCTCCTGTGAAATTACTTGACACATATTTAATTGCTGACAAATTTATTGAAAGCTGCGAAGTTTTTCTTGACACGTATTTAACGAAAAAGGCTCAGACAGCTTTCCACCACGAACATCATGCAATCCTGTCAAGTCCAACTCAACAACAATCCGTAGAAGTTAATACACCTAAACAAGTAGTTACATCGCCCAAAGGTGGATTTGGTTTTGGCGCACGTGAAATTAAAACCAAAAATGTTAAAAAAAAGTATAATCCAAGTAAACGTAAGACGGGCAATTCATTAACCATTAATGATTCAGAAAATAACTTTCCTAGTGGCATTGGTGATTCCCAGTCACTAACTAAAGATCTCTTTGCTCGTTATGTTCTCATGGACGACGTTAGAAGTATTTTGTCTTCACAGTTACCAAATGATGTGCCCAGTGAAATGATTGACCAGGTCGCTGATATGTTGGAACCTATTTTACAACAGTCATTTATAAAACATATTGGTTCACTGATTTCACCGAGCGCAGGTGCTAACTTCGATCGTGAGAAAAAGTTGCAAACACAGGAAGTGGTTAATAGTATGGTTCTCAGTTTACAGGTAATAAAATTTTCAAGCTTTTGATTACAACTGACTGAATAAAGACCGCTTTAGGTCAGATGGCTGCTTTGTTTTCGTTTGGAACTTTTTAATTGTAAATTGCATCAAACCCTTCAAACAGCTTGCTTTAGGAATATTTGTCTCGAGAAAAATGTGTTTATATTAGGAATACAGTTATCAGCATTTCCAAATTTATTATGTTGTAACGTAATTGCCATTTTTACTCAAAGATTTAGGTTTTTAAACTCAGGAATCCCCAAGCTTAACCGAAACACTGTTTATTGTGTACTTTCCATCAGTACCCCAGAGAAAATCAGCATAAAGATTATCTTTGTATGAATGTTTTAAAGTTTCGTCATAGTAACCGTATTTTAGGGTTCGGCATAATCCAGTATCTCTTTAGTCTGTCATCAAAATTGATAGGTTGCTTAGTTTTATTTGTTCGTTATTTATTTGTTTATTATTTATTTGAACACATATATATTGGTACATGAGTGCGCCGAATATATATGCGCCACACAAAAAAATGAGAATATAAGAAAAAAAAGTGAGGAACGTAAAGAAGAAATAATAATAATATTAATTAAAAAAAGAAAAATAACGAAGAGATTGGTGTAATGCAGTGTAATAATAATAGTAATAGTAGGGTAACAGAAGGGTACAATCAGAAGAAATCTTTCAGTTAAGGAAGATACAACCATTTTTTATGAAGAAAGTAAAAGAAGGCTACAGCAGGATCGCCACTGGCTTCTATTCCGAGCCATATATGATAACGTCTCTAGCCACTATGTAGAACCATCTTTCGGACCCCGACCGGGGAGTCGTGAATGACCGATACAAGCCAGCCTTTTGCAGATTTCTTTCATACCACGACACCATGTCATATACTGACCACCTCTCCGCTTCTTCCAACCAGTCCCAGAGTCGGCAAATAATGCACGACGTGGAATTCTCTCGGACGACATTCAGAGAACATGTCCAAGCCACCGAAGTCGATGTTTCAAGATGGTGACACCAATTGGATTATCGTCTGTGTCCGAACACACGATGTCGAACCTCTGCATTACTAACATGGTGATGCCAATGGATGCCAGCAATCCTTCGGAGACAGCGATGATCGAACACAGAGAGTCGTCTAACGTCCTCAACTCTGAGAGGCCAGGTTTTACAAGCATAGAGCAAAACTGCTCTCACCGACGCGTTGTAGATCCGACCTTTTACAGCCAGACTAACATCACGAAGGCGCCAAAGATGGCCCAGATTGGCATAAGCCGCTCTGGCTTTCACTACAGATGGATTGATCTCATCACTCACCCTACCACCAGCACTTATGCAGCTACCTAGGTACACGAACTTCTCGACTACGTCTATCTGCTCACCATCCAGGGTGAGTACAGGATTGGGATCCTGCCAGTCTTGTAGGAGTACTTTGCACTTCGAAGGTGCAAAGCACGTACCATACTTACGGACACTAATTGCCAACTGATTAAGTGCGGATTGCATGCCTTGGGCATTATCGCACAGTAAGACAATATCATCCGCATACTCAAGGTCGAGAAGTCTTCCTCCAGACAACAGATCCACACCGTGGATCAGTCGTCACCGGCCATGGAGGGCAGGACAGTCTGACCGGTGTTGCCGGAGCAGCAGGCCAGTTGAACTGCCCTTCGAAGAATTCTGCCCATCGTCCAAGACGTCGATGGATGTTAGTGATTGGCATCCCATCATCATTGCAGATTGTTTCACTCACACCAGACTTCTTGCTGCCATTGGCTCGGATGAGCTGGAAGAGCTTCCGGTAATTACCAGATGCAGCTGCTGCTTCCAGCTCATTAGCACGCTTCGACCACCAGGCTTCTCGGTCCTTACGCAAGCTTTGCCCGATTTCATTATATAACATCCTTCGTCTGTGGTCAAACTCACGGTCACCCGGAGTAGACCGACTGGCTTCAATGAGTTGTAAGGAACCAGAAGAAACCCAGTGCTTAAAAGCGGGACATTTCGCAAACCCACAACTGACTGTTCCCGCCATTTTCATGGCGTCATGCGATTGCAACCAATGCTCATCTATACTTTTCGGTGGAGTGGTAGCTAGCCTAGAGGCTAGCTCGGTTCGATACTTACTAGCAAAAAGAAGTTGCAACCAGCTTGCTAACATCAATCCGTTGGTGGCGGTCACTTCGTTGTCCACTGAAAAGTAAGGCAAGATTGGCGCAGATCAAGGCATGATCAGAGTCCAGATAGGTACTCCAAAAGGGGAGACAGTCTTGTACACAACCACGCCAGCGGTAGTTGATCGCGATGTGATCAATCTGAGTCCAGGCTTGGGATGCAGAGGGAGGACGCCAGGTGGCACATCGGCGATGACTGTGCCGAAAGTTAGTGCTAGCCAGAAACAGGTTGTGGTCTGTGCACAGTTGCAGTAGACGGTCCCCGTTATCTGACCTGCGACCAACGAGTCCCCATCGGCCACCTAAACGACTCTCTTCTGTGCCTAGACGCCTGACCTGAGCATTCAATTCTTTGGCTAGTACTACAATATCTGTCGAACGCACTTTCTGGAGAAGAACAGATAACTGGTGGTAAAACTCATCCTTGATTGCATCCGGGCTGCAATCTGTCGAGGCATAGGCGGAGATGACGAAAAAACATCGTTTCTCACGCCGATTTCTTCTCACTTTGATGGAACTTTCTAATCTAACAGAACATAACCGACCGTTAGTGGGGATCCAATAGATTAGTGCTGCCTCAGCTCTAGCGCTTAGTGTGACACCAACGCCAGCAAGACCAGACGAAGATGCCACATGGTCCACGGATAAGCGCACGTAAAACAAGCTTTTTGAAGCGACAGATGTAGAGCGAATTTGTAGTACTTCACCAGAGTCTTGAATACGGGTCTCGGATAGACAGCAGACATCGATATGAAGACTTACCAAAGACATAGCCAGCCCTATCTGTTGTCCGACCTGCATAAGTGTGCGAACGTTGAAGGCAGCCAGTTTGAATGGTGCACGTGGTTTCAGAAAAACTGCTTCAGTCCTCGTATTCGGTGGTAACATACAATTTTCAGCTGGACAGTGACTCGAGAACGTTTAGATACAGTCGGATTTCCACCATAGACGAGCTGCTGTATAAGTCGAAAAAATAAGTATAAATAGAGTGGAAATAAAGGGGGGTGAATAATGACGTAGTAAATAATAATAGCAATAATAATAATTGAATCATTTGAATGTTCGTCGAAGCAAGAGAATTAGTTTCCATGGTCATAGACAGTTCAGTTCATTAATTGTGTGTGGGCTGCGATACTACCCGGGTGCCCAAACCGAAGCAGGTGGTTATCTTGGGGGGCCACACCCCGAGTCTTTGACCTAATGGTCTAACCCACAAGGCAGTGGAGCATCGTGAGGAGATGCAGTCCCATGGTAGCCGGTGACCGAAAATTGGCTCATACGCCATTTGTTCCCGCAGGATTCTGGAGCCCATGTGCACCATTGATTTGGAATCCGGTTAAAGCGCCGGACATTCGCTTTTCGTCCTCTCATTTTCGTAAACAACACCCCCGCCACGAGAAGGCAGTGAGTAGAACTTCCCTGGCAGAGGCTGTATACGCGTGGCCGTGTGAGGGTATTTCGAGAGGGAGGGCGAACCCACCCCGCTCTCGGCCATACCAGGGCATTTGGGGGCACTGATGCACGTTTAGAATCGATTAGCAGAGCGTGGTTTCGATCCACGGACCTTTGGGTTATGGGCTCAGCACGCTTCCACTGCTCCACTCTGTGACCGAACAAATATATATATATATATATATATATATATATATATATATATATATATATATATATATATATAACTACATAGAGTTTTGTGGTTTCACGGTGTTTGAAAGGTACAAATTGGAGTATATTTTTCCCTTTATTGCAATTTCGTAGTGCATTCTTCCCACAAAATCATAATTCAAATATTTCGCACAACCGAATATTCTCCGTGCTTAATAAAAATATATGAATTAGGGACCGTTAACAATCTCTTATAGTTGTCATTATTATCATGTACATTTACTTATATGTCTAAAGCCGAACTTTTCATTTAATATTTCAGTTGTTAGAGAGAGGAATCTCTTCAATAAATCGTGATATCCTAAGAAACCAATTATTAGTTCATCTTCTGAAAAATTATGGTATGCCTATTCTTCGGCAGCTATGTGATTATATTTCTTATGAATTCGGAATTCCATGGCCTGAGTCGACAACTAGTAAAAATGATCTCTCAAAAACAAACTCTTCCGATTCAACACAAAATAACAATGTCAAATCAAATATTACAGAATCATTAAGCAGTGAATCCTATCATCGTCTCCTAGAACTGTTAAAACATACTAGTTTACCAGATGCAGTTTCAATAAGCAGTGCTATACAGCAAGTTTTGGACAGCTTTAAAGTTGGGCAAAATAATTTAACATCACTTGATACATTTTATACTTCAATAAAAAATCTATCAGTTGACGTTCTCGGTTTGACTATTTCCGTATTTCATTCATCTAATAGTCATAATAATAAACGAGAACGAGACGAACGACTTAAAGCTAATGAATTAGCCATTCAAGTTGAAATGCAACTCAAGGAATCAGTATGTGATGCTAAAATTAACAATGATTTATTAAAAGTTGCAACAACTGCAACTTTAGCAGCTACCTGTTTATTTGCTCAAATTATTAATGGTTGGCCAGTGACAGCACCTGGAAAATGTGTACCTGAGTTGATTGATTGGTTTTTTGAAGCATTAAAATTTAAAACTGAATTGGAAAGCAACAGTAATGAGAAATCGAATTCACATATCACGGCTTTGAAAACATTACAGGCTTCAAATGTTCTCGATGATTTGAGTAAATTGGCTAATTATATTTCGGAAAAGGTGCGTTCTGGAAATGTTTTTGAAGAATCTGACATACAAGCCCATTTGAAACATATACTTGATGTGGGGATTCAGTGTAGAAGACAATTGTATGCATGAATAACAAAGAAACTTTACTTTTTACTGTTATTCTAGTTACCAGGTTACTTTCTGTGGTGTTTCTTTACTTCATTTAATTATTTCCATATTTTGACAATTTATATTTCACATATTCATATTTTCAAGGCCTCGTGAGCTATTTTTGTCGTTACGTAATCCTTGGCTGGCGTGTAATTTATCGATTACTCAGTACTCCTGTTATCCACTTATTTAACGACATTTTAGATCTATGTTATATCCGAGCGAAGATTAAATTATAGGTAACTTCTGAAGACTGTTAATAGACTAATATTCTATAAATATTCTTATTGTATAATTGTTCAACAATTACATTACGTATATTTATATTCCTCTTATTATAAGCTTTATTTTGACCTATAATTCATTATTATACGATTTACGGTTCTTAATCTATATTCAGTCTATTAATTACTATCTCCCGCGTTCACAGCCACTTTTCGGCTCATTTGTGTACACATGTTACTTTCTAATTTATGGTGTGTTGTGGTCTGTCTGTTTGATATATAAACCGAGTATGTTTGAAATAAACGATCTGCTCCGATTCGAAGCTGGTATTGTGTTCTGGACTCAAGTGGAAGGGCTCGTAAGACATAGGACCAATAAGGACGCTAGACTGCCCACACCGGTTGAACGTCATTGGTTGGCCTAGTGTGAAGATTCGTATAAGTCGTATTCGGATTGGTCGATAGGTCGCGTGATAGCAAAAAGCAGACATATCAAGGTCATAACAATCTATTATAGTGGGACTCGTGTTCATGGGCTATTGGATGAATGCTTGGGGTGTTTATAACTGTTCATTTAAAGTATCATAAACAACCTAGTAGCTGGTACAATCGTGTATTGGTCCAAGGTGCCACAATTTACGTCAGTATAGTGATATATGTAGAGCAACGTTTTCAGAATAGTAATGTTGGTGACCGTGAGGAGTATATAATTCGGAAATGAATGAAATCGTGAAATAAAAAGTGTGAAATTATAGTAAAACTCAAAATACATCCGCATTAGTTCGATAAACATCATGTTATGCCAAGTGTAGTATCAAACCTGTGATTGCATCGATTCCGCCCAGGAGCTTTACATATATAAACTCTGCTCATTTTAGAAATCAGTGACCTCATGAACTAGTATCGTTTCTTAAACCTTTTCACAGCCCATGCCAGCCACCGTCGCACGTCACGGTGGGTTTTAGAGCATTATTTATATTGTAGAATATCAAGTAACCACGAACGGTAAAATTTAATCAAATCAGCAGACTTTACGACGACCGAATAAATTGTTTTCGTTGCGTTAAGGTAGGAAATATTTGTTACACTTGAATATGTAATCACTTACGGTTAAAAGGTAGTGTATTCAACTGTTTAAGTAGATGTTCCAGTTTCACTTAATATTGCTTTTTGGCATGCTCAGTTTCTGCATTTAAATGTACGCTTTCCTTCCATATGTTTTGACATCGTAATCTTTAAGAACTTAACTCGTTATAGGTAATAAAGAGAGATTATATGTTGATGAAATTAATTTGATTAAAAAATGTGTGATAACTATTCAGTGGGTTTATACTTTTGCGTACATTAATCTATATTTTATTAGACTTGTTTATTAAAATTAGTTAGAATCATAAGTGAGTTGTTTAGGATTAAATATTGTGTCCAGTGAACATCTGAACTTAATATTCATTATTGCAAAAGTTCTTCATGATTTGAACATATGTTAATTGTTGGTTTATAGTATCAAAAATTCTTTCAAATATACAAATAAAAAGTCCAAACTATTGTACTCTACATTGATAACTGTCATATTTTCTGTTTTCAATACGTCCAACCGTGTGCACTTTCGTGAATGTGTTACCATGGAGTCTCAAATATGACCACGTTTCTGTGTTATGCTTTCTGGCTTTAATCAATGTTATCGAAAGGAACCAATAGCAAAATCACATTTAGTACGTTAACAAGCAGCTCATGATTAGTACATAAGTAATTTACACACTTGGCTTTCAACAATCTGACAGCATATTTGAAACATGATACACTTCCGCTTAATCAGCCTATAGCAAATCACATGCAGTTGAGTTTGTTCACATTTAATTCGGTCAAGTCATTTTGTTAACTTATTAACGAACTGAGTCAACCGTACAATAACAACTTATCTATATCATTGTATCTTTATTATTGTTGCGAATGTATGAACAGGTATGCTTGAGCATTACTCACTGCCTATGCATTTATTCATGCTGCTAGCCTTACTGCTAACCGCTTTAATTGATTCGATGATTCATTCACTTCACTATGTATATGTATGTCCATGTTATTCATGTTCATTGCTCTCTCTCACTTACTCGTACTCATATTCGCTGACTCACTCGCTCACTGGCTTTTCGGCACAACTCTTTCATGCTTGTTTACGCACTTGTAATTTTGGATATCTGTTTATGGTCCCATAATAAACACAATCAACACTTCGTTTTCGCTTTCTGATTAATATACTGTTGGGACGTTATCTAGTGACGGTCATCAAGACGAACTGTATACGAAGTTTAAGGATTATATGGAATACCGACCACCACAAGCCTAATAATATCACTGGCCTTCAAACGAAATGCGTGGTTTTTCTACACATACTGTAGTTTATAAAGTGCTTCTAAGTGTACTCTATCTACGCTGCGACCTATGACTTTTCTCCTAAGTGATGTTTTCAGCAATGGCAAATTGTAATATGACCATTGTAAAATTAATAGTTCTGGAAGATTTGTGAGGAAAACCAATGTCGATTCTACTCTCTTGGGGTGGCACTTAACTTTTGTAGACAATGAGAAAGGCTCACTCAACATGTGCATCATTATCAGTACTTTTAAATATGCGCTTCTAATCGACATTAGGAATATCTTATTAAATTGTTTGTCTTTTTTTCAACTAAAAAGAGTGAATATTAAGAAGGAGATACTTCATTAAGTCATCGCATCTCAGTAAACTGGTGAATTGAGCTATTAAGAATTCGTTGAGAGGTAAGGACTGTCTATAGAGATAACACGTTTTAAAAATGGATGTACTCATTTGGTAGCTAAAAGTAGTCCTGACTCATTTGTTGTGATTTATTTCGTCAACATATGAGTAATAGATGTTATGAGACATACTGGTATAATAATGCGAAATTTTTTCAGTTCATTTATAAGTAAAATGCAGTTTCCACTCTATTGATTGTTGATGTAAAACAACAATTATTGAAAGTGATGTTGGTGACAAAAGTGACAGATTTTTAAAGTGGTTAGTTTGTAGAGGTAAATAAATACCCAAAACGAATAGTTCTAAATCTTCGACATTGAAGCTGAACTCATCGGTTTCACTAGACAAACCTCTAGATGAGGGGTTTCGGTCAAGCATCCGTACAAGGACACGTTTAGATACACATCAAAGTGTTGGAAGTCCGTTGTTATCCTCCCGATTTTGAAGTCCAAACTCCTCTGAATTGCCAGCTTATCGTATGGGTTACAAATTTATCTTCAGGGTTCCAAATACACAATAAATAATAACAGGCCATCCAAAAGTGTTCAAGAAGGTCGTTTACATTAAGGAAAAGCAGGTTTTAGTACTGTACACTGAAGGGACCCACAAAGGCACTCTGTAGCTTGCGAAAAAATGAAGTTTACCTCGACCTTAAAAGGTCGTTTAGTTAGATATGAAGTCAGCAAATCAGTGAACGATGACTCGATATCTAACAGTTTGAACTTATTGATGAGACATCACTCACTAAAAGTATTAAAAGGTTTTGAAAAGCCGAGGCACTCAACATCAATTTTCACCTTGCAATCAAGGATGTTCGTCCATCTGTCTATCGCTGTCAGCAGGTTGGTTATACAAGAGTAATTGTGGTGTTTGAATTAACTAATGATTCTTTTGTACTTGTTGATTGCTTGACTTCGAATTCTAAATACAATACATTCGTTCGTGCTCATCTAGTACTTCTTGATTCAGTTGCGTTATTTCGAGGATTCTTAGTTCATACTACAATTGAAATAATTCGAAACATCAAATAGGCGTCGCGATGGAGCCTGTGATGGAACTGTTGGATATACATTCAGATTTTGGTGCTTTTGAGGATTATTTTGAAAGGTTCGAAATCTAGGCTATGACTGAGGAAGATGCTGAGGATGTCAATATTGTGGCACATTCATCGGAAAAGAAGCACACAGCTTATTAAGAACTCTGGCTATGCCGGAACAGCCTATCTCGCTCCCTTATACAACTCTCAAGGAACTGCTGCTAGACTGTGTTAAGTATGCAAATTTCCAACGCAATAAAGGAAGGTTATGTAAAGTGATTCATGAGGATATAAAAAATTCCACTACACTACTACGTCATCCTAACCCAGTGCATACTCAAGGCTATGCAGATAATTCATTGAAGAGTTGCAATGCATTTCACGAAGATGGGCACAAGTTTGGTCAATGTTTGTCCTGTGGCAAGCTCCACTCTTTTAATTCATGTAAATTTCGTAATTCTAAGTGCTTTAAATGTGGTGATATTGGACATATTCAGTCAGTCTGTAATACTCTTGTTCATCCTATTGCAACTAATATTAAGTCTGGTAATTCTGATTCTACTGAGTTGATTACTTATAATAATCATTTATCTTTATCATCGATTTCAAAAGACAGTGCAGAGTCATATAGCAGTTCGGAGTTAAATGAAACTCAGAATCCTTGTAAGACAACGGTTTGTAACCAAACGATTTGCCAGAATTCTCATGTTATTGTACCAGGTATGTCTTTTTCTAATGATTCACATATTTCTGATGAAATTCTTTGCAAATCTGAAGAAAATATGTTGAGTGAACATAATTATGATCGAAAACCTGATGTAGTTTTGATGGATGCTGACTTTTCTAATGATCCTTTGCTCTGCAATGACATTCTTAATAAATTTGAGGAAACTATTTCAGAAGAATCAAAGCTTGATGTCATGTCAAATATTATTTGTCCTCATAATGCATTTGTTTATTGTGGGAAACTTGTTCAATCCGAAGCAGGAGTACTAAATGACCTCGATTTTGACTACAATTCGGATGATTTCATATCAACTGCTGTTCATCTTTATCACAAATCCACTTCCAATGTTTACTCTAATCAATGTGAGAAATATGTTTTAAATGAAGCCACATCATGCATAACTTTGGGATATAAAGATCCAACATTATTTCGTGATGGAGGATAGTGTTGAAAAATCTATGGTTCGAATTCTAGATATTGAGGATGACACAGGTATTCAGTGTTTGACAACGCTTCTACCAGTAACACCTTCTAATATAATTTGTTCCCACCGAGAGAAATCAAATAACAGAGTCGAGGAGATCGGAAGAGTGTATTACGCGATTACCAATATATCGGAATTCTCTGATCTAATCTGGCTAGCGATTGCGGTAGATGTTGAGCACAGCGTTACCAGACGTGATCTGGTGCGGATGCATGACCGAGCGCTTTCAGCTAGATGAGTCCACTAGAACATATGGTCAGCATCCAATGTCGAAAACTTACAGAGCTATTTAGTTTGGGGATTT